ATTGTTTGTGTTTGTTTTTCCTTTGCATGTCTATTACTACTAGTACCATTATATTTTTCATATACTTAGCAATAAATAACTTTTATAGTCAAACTAGTAGTAACTGGGTATATTTTTCCTTCTCTACTTCTCCTTCCCCACTTGCTCTGCAGCAACGCTTCTTTTACTTAAGCTAAAGATCCCTGTGAAGCCCAAAAATACTGTGGGGTCTGCTCATCAAAAGGCTAAATATTGGGATGTATCAAGTTTGAAACACATAGGGGGATCAGTTTGTACAGGCTGATTGACCCAGTTTGGCTCAGATGTGCCCTAATGAACTGAATGCTGGCCCATGAGGGTGTCAGCTGGACACCCAGCCGGATTCAGAGGTATTCTGTTTACCTGTGTGCTTGTGTCTGACTGCAGTTTATTGTTGCTCTGATGAACTGATTCTTCGCACATGAGGGCGTCAGCCTGTCCATGCTGATCAACCCAGCTGGGTCAGGCGTGTCATGTTAATCTGCATGTGTATGACTGATTTGGTGACTGGAGGAACTCTGCCCCATTGAAACTGAAGTCTCACAAGATAGCTCCATTGGGGGTGAGGACTTGCAGAAAGGGAGATATACAGCTCCATATAGAAAACACAAGCAGCACACTGATAGAATTGCAAAGACCCTAGAAATGTATCCCTAATAAATGAGCACCCCAAGGCAAGGGGCAAATCTGGTAACACAGTATTCCACCTCAACGTTCCGGACCAATTTTTGAGAGTAGCGGTGGTTTTTTTCTAGGCATTGTGGTCACTTTTAACTTTGTTTTTTGTAAGCTTGCAACAATATCCAAGGGAGTGCATAAACAGGAGTGCCTTGCAAAATAATAAAATAAATATTTACATGTAGTATGCTTTCAAGAAAACTGATGTAGTTTGTTAAATACTGTAGTAAATATTTAATTGCTTCCAGGCAAGTCTCTGCTATATATTTCAGGAACTGCAAAACTATCTGAAGGTCACATTATAGAAACTTTTACCTTACCAGGTCAGTAATAATTGGCTGAACGTGAACTTTGTTAAGTAGAGCTGTCTCCATGGTACAAAAAGCTGCTGTAGGGTTGATGTCTGTACATCTGAAAGTAAGACATTAATGCTACTTCACTGTTACAAGATATAATTAAAAAAAGTAAACGAAAGAATCTATTGAATTTTATTAAAGTAGAACATTGATTATCTGGAATAATTAGCACCACAATCATTCTAGATAATCAAACACCAGATAATGCAGTGCTGAAAACTATAACTACTGTACTGTAAATTAAATATTTAAAAGCTAACAAGAAAAAAACATCTGCTACTGTGTAATGTTTTTAAATCTTGAAGTATGACTAATAAACAAGTTGTCTCACTAACAAGCAAAACCCAACTATGGGCAGATAAGTTTTTTTAACACAAAACCTTCCAGTTAATTAACTTTGCTAGAAAAGTGATTCTCTACTATATGAGGTCTTCTCAAACTTCCAGTATTACCTGAACAAATCTCATTATTTAATCAAATTACCGAATTCTTGGGAACTCCTGAGAAAAGTTATTAGTGGTAGCCTTTAGTTTGCAAGTAGGTAAGGTATCAGAATAGCTAACTGCTTGATTATTCTCACACATGTATCAATTACTTTATTTCTGCAACTGCAAGTTCTTTCTACATCTCCTTTCCTCCAATGTTAATAAAAATCAATCCATAGTGGATCTTCTTTCTGTTTACAACATATATTAGATTTTTGTAGTGGTAAGATTGGTAAATTTGTATCAATTAATTCTAAGACGAGGGGCTTCCCCCCCCCAGTGTTAAATGAAGCGAGTATGAGGGCAATAGGTGCAGGCAGCTGCTGTGGCTTGGGTTTCAATCCCTCCATGGGGTCAGGGCTGTAGCCAGAGCTGCTGCTTTCCCCACCACTCTGCACCCTGCCATCTTCCCTCCACATCATGCAAGCTCTGCTTCCCCACCTTACCCTTGCTCCATGCTAGCAGGCTCTGTGCAGGCTGCAGCCTGGGGCACTGAGCAGGGCCCCAGCTTGGCCCTGTAGCAACAGCATATAGCCAACATGGCTCCTACAGGGATAAGCTGGTGCCATGCTCAGTGCCCCAGGCTAGAATAGGGCCAGAGTCTGCCTGTGCAGAGCAAGATTAAAGGGGAGAAGGGGAGGTAGGCAGGGGCAAAGGTGGCAGGCACAAGCAGAGGGCAAGCTCCTTGACATTCCCCCACTACCTGCCCCCCTCTGCCTACCCACCTACAGTGGTGAGGAGGGCAATGAATTAAACATGACCCCCCCACAATAATTAGGTTCTGTACATGGAAAATGATAACAAATTTATAAATGTTCCATGTATAGAATCTAATTATTGGGGGGTAATTTTAAGATCTGGGTCATCTTAGAGTTGTGTCAATGCAGTAATTTAAAACTTTGGTATTCTACTTACATATATAATGCTTTGGGTCCAACAATGGAAGCCAGAAATGTTGAAACCACACCAGAGCCTGAGCCTACTTCAAGGCAGATCTCAACTCTAAATTTAAAAGAAAATAAATGAGTACATTGTGTATTTACAAGAATATAAGGACTGGACAGGGAATGCTGCCAAACTTGTGGTCAGAGGCATTCTCAGCCAGTGATGGTGGAATGTTTACTGGTCATGCTGCCCTCACAGCATGATGGGGGATCTGCTTTATATTGACTGATCTCTTGCTGGTGATAACTGGTGCCCTTGAAGAATCAAAATGTTTCTTATTTGTCACAATCCTGTTAGGGTTTTTTTTCCCCTCAACCCAATATCCGTTTCCATTGACATCAAATCTCAGCGATTCTGTTCATTACTACCACTTGCTGGTAGAAACTCTGCTAGCAGCTGTGGCATAAGAGTTTGAAGCAAGGTTGCCCAGAGAAGCAAAGATCTTAAGTGCTAAGCAGAAATATGTTTAAACTGGCCCTTGACATGTATATCTCAGAAATTCCAAGATGAACAATAATAAAATGAATTCTCTGTATGCTACCTATTCAAGTTCAAATGGTATTTGTAATGTCCCGGAAATATTTTGAATATAAAAGAGGCCAACATAGAACAACTTACTGGAATAAGGAATGAGAAACATAATCCATTCCCTGCACAATAAAGAGAGATTAATGATGGCAGGGACACACTGTAACTGAGGAAATTTTTTTTCTCTGAGGATTATGTTAGGAAGTAATCTTAAATCTAGCAAAAAATTACCATCAAATGTAAGTTTGTTACTATTATTTAGTAAACCTACACAGAGGTTTACCCACTCTCCTTTTTGCACTGGCAAACCTAGCTGTAGCAAATCTGCGCCCTCTAAAAGCAGGAAACGCTTTAGCAGAATAGCATTCGTTGCTGGTGTTTTAAGTGTCAGCACATTAGAAACTCAGTGACAGCTATATCTGGCTATGGTAACATTTCCCAGCATCAGGGCCATCCCTGGGGGGTGCAAATCAGAGCAACCGCCCCCGGCCCCGTGCTTTGGGGGGTTCTGTGGAGATGGGCAGAGCAGTGGCTCCGCATCCAGCCGCTCACTCCCCCAACACTGCACTGCACCTCTACCACCAATTTCTATCCAGCTTTCCTTTGACTGGGTGGCTGGGAATGTAGCTCCTGATCCTGAGTCACTGAGGTAAGCATGCCTGCACGAGGCAGCCTGTCCACCCACCCTCCTGGCTGAGGAAGGTAGGATAGGTTTCCAGGGGTAGGTGCAAGGAAGCCCCATACTGGGACCCAAAAGCTCACACAGGCGCCCTGAGCTGCCCTCAGCCTGGCTGGGTACTGCTGCCAATGGCAGGGTCCCACATAGGCTTGGTGCCCCCTGGACTGGGAGCTACCACCCTGCCCCAACACCCACAGCCCCCCCTGCTGCAGGCTCCAAATGGGCCCAGCCAATGATACAGCCCAACAGCACAGGAGCTTGAGACAAGCCCCGCCCCTCAAACGCCTGCTGGCTCCGCCCCAGCACCACCTCGGCTCCTCCCATTGGCTGTGCAGTCTCCCTCGCACGCTCGCTGGCAGCCAATAGAAAGCGGTGGGTGGAGGCTGGCACAACCCGATTGTACCGAAGCACGATCTCCAGGCAGGTGCCTCAGCCCCTCCCATTGGCTGTTCGGTCCCCTTTCCGCGCTCGCAGGCAGCCAATAGGACACGGAGGGCTGAGGCTGCCAGCCCAATGGCGCAGCTGCACAAGCGGCGTCGGCTCCTCCATTGGTTATTCAGCCTCCCTTCCCCCCCCTCCAGACCGCAAGTGGTTTCTTCCCCTCGCTGCGTAGTGCGCACCGGGCGTTTCGGAGCTGGGCCGCGTCTAGCTCCAGCGCGTCCAGCAGCAAATACGTGTCCTCAGCCGGCTCGTACACCTCGCAGAAAGGCCCGCGCGGCCCCACGTGGTGGTGCCGCGGCGTGGGCAGCGCGGGCGCTGCCATTGTTGCTTGGTGGAGTGCGCATGCGCAGGTGTTTAACGCCCTTCTCGATCAGTGATTCGGTGTTCAGCTGAGCTGCCTTGTGGGGGTAGGGGGAGATCACGGAACAATGGATGGCAGGGAATGATGTGTGGGGCGCGTTACCGCTGTGTGACGCTTTGGACAGCGGGGGGGGGGTGTTACACAGGGCGGAGCCTCGAGTCGCGTGACGTAAGCAATCGCCTGCGGAGGGAAGGGTCGGGTGCTGTGTTCCCTCCGCCACGCTTCACTTTCTCGTCCTTAGCCCATTGCCTTGCTGCCTTGTCCCTTCCGTGCAGCAACGGCGGCTGTTGCCTGTGCAGGCTGGGGCCTCTGAACCACTGAGTCCCTGAGGTGCCGCCCTGCCAGCCCCTGCTGGGGACACCATGGCTGGGGCCCAACAGTTTGCTCGAACACTTCTACTATTATTGATCGTACATAGTATAGAGGCTGAAATAATTGTACAAATATAAATATTGTACACCTGGCAACACTGTAGCAGGGGGTTGCATCTTTGGGAGGGGTGAGGGTCACACCCTTGCTTGCTCCCCTGCTATCAATTGGAAAGGTACGGGAGGAGCTTCCGTAGTCCAGATCCTTTTCTATGCACAAGTGTATTAACCCTTGGGGGCAGGAGCAGGAGCTGGCTTGGTGCCAGAAGCACTCCTTAACCAGTAGAGTTCAGGGGATAGAAAGTTTGTGGGCACAACAGAAGAGGCTGGGAACCCTACATCATAAAATTATAGAAAATTAGGGCTGGAAGGTACCTCAGGAGGTCATTTAGTCCAATCCCCTGCTCAGAGCAGGACCATCCCCAACTAAATCATCCCAGCCAAAGCTTTGTCTAACCAGGTCTTGAAAACCTTCAGGGATGGAGCTTCCACCACCTCTCTGGGTAACCTGTTCCAGTGTCTTACTACCCTCCTAGTGAGAAAATTCTTCCTAACATCTATCCTAAACTTCCCTTGCTGCAACCTCAGACCATTGCTTCTTGTTATGCCATCTGCCATCACTAAGAGCAGTCTAGCTTCATCCTCTTTCAAACCCTGCTTTAGGTAGTTGAAGGCTGCTATTCAATCCCTCCATAGTCTACTTTTCTAAATAAGCCCAGTTCCCTCAGCCTGTTCTCATAAGTCATGTGCCCCAACCCCCTCACCATTTTTGTTGCCCTCTGCTGGACTCTCCAATTTGTCCACATCCTCCTTTCTGTAGTGAGTAGAATTGAACACAATACTTCAGATGTGACCTCACCAGTGCTGAATGGAGGGGAATAATCACTTCCCTGGACCTGCTGCCAACAATCCTACTGATGCATCTCAGTATGCCATTAGCCTTCTTGGCAACAAGGGCACACCATTGGCCCATATTCAGCTGATTGTCCACTGTAACCCCCAGGTCATTTTCTGCAGAGCCGATGCTCGTCCAGTCAGCCCCCAGCCTGTACTGGTCCATGGGATCGTTCCGTCCTGAGTGCAGGGCTTGGCACTTGTCCTTGTTGAACCGCATAAGATTTCTTTTGGCCCAATCCTCCAATTTATCTAAGCCACTCTGAATCCTAGCCCTATCCTTCATCGTATCCTGGGATGCTAGCATACTGCAGCTTGGGCTGCTCATGTGCAGGACATGGCCACACCTTAAAGGAACAGGAGCCAGGTCATGCAGATAAGAGGTAATCCTGCCCTGGAGTGGTGGAACTCGATCCCAGATACAGAGTGCTTTAAACAACTTGAAGGTGTTGCGGCCCACCCAGGGGTTAAGAGTAGGGCAGTGCAAAATTTCACCGAATGTTTCATTTCAAAGCTGTTTTGAGCTGGAAACAGCAAAATTAAAATGAAACAAAAAGCTTTGAAACAGTTTCGAAACTAAATGAGGGCACTCAGACCTTTTTTAAATGTTTCAAGTTTCAAAGCAGCCCAGTGGCAGGAGGCTGGGAAGAGTTAGGGCTGCACTCTGAGCGGCTCCGCAGCCCCATAGAGCAGCCGGGGGGCAGGAGGTGGAGCACAGCCCTGGCTGTCCCCCACCTCCTGCTGCTGCGCTGAGTTTCATGGGACTGGCAGAGTTGATCGGAGCGCACCCTTGGCTCTCCCCACCTCCCACCACTGGGCTGCAATCTGAGCGGCTCCACAGCTGGAAGGAGTCCAGCACAGCTCTGCAGCCCTCCCTAGGGTATGGGCCCCCAGATCTGTGCACCAGATGACAGGAGGCTGCCGCTGCTGCCTGGGGCCAGCGACAGTATCAGTCTTTCCTGGTGCTGGGTGCAGCCTGCACCCAGCACTGGTCCCAGGTGACAGCAGCAGCCTCCTGTCATCTGGTGCACAGATCTGGGAGCCCGCACCCCTGGGAAGAGTCTGGCACAGCCCCGCAGCCCTCCCGGGGGTGCGGGCCCGTGGATCTCCATGCTGGATGACAGTTGTCTGCCGCTGCCAGCAAGTGTCACAAGTTTTGCTTTTTGCAGTTTGAGATGCAGTTTCTGAGAAACCTTTGCACCTATTGCCTTGAGATCGGCAGGCTTCATTCCTGCAATTTTCATCTGAATCAGGCAAGAAACGACAACGTTTTAGGCATTTTCATGATTCCCCATTATAGCCTATGGGCGAAACTTTGAAATGTGTTGAAACAGCGAAACAGTTTTGACAAAACAAAACAGGATAGTGCTTTGAAACGAAATGAAATGACAAAACAAAACAAAACACTGTCTTTTTGAAACGGTGAAACGGACGTCGAAATGAAATGATGGTGTTTTGCACAGTCCTAGTTAAGAGCTCCAGGAGTTGCCTAAAATTACTGTGTAATAAGGTCCTTAGAGTTCAGGCAAAGACTGTGTCCAGTTTCCTCCTCTGGCCCTGCAAGCCTGATGCTTCCTCTGGGGTCTTTTATTTATTTATTTATTTTTACTGTTACTTAAGGCTCTACCTGGAATTGCTGCTTTTGCATTTACGTCAAGCTGAAGGACATGGAGAATTGCCAGTCTGGGGCAGACTAGAGGCATGGCCAGCCCTGTGTAGCCCCTGTCTAGCAGCATGTAGTGGGTGCTTTAAGAAGAGGATAAGAATTTGGGAGAGGATAAGAATCTGGGTAGAATGACC